GCTTCTGCCTGGCTCATCCTCCGACGCCCTCATCCACTGTCCTGGCGCCGGTCTGGCCGACACTGCTCAAGACAGCCACGGCTCCGACCTCCTCTGGAGCGCTCTCCGACCAGGACTCCGAGGCGAAGCCGATCCTGGCGACGCGCCCCCGCCCTTCCCCTCTCGAGGCTCGACGGCACGATATGCAATCTAGCCGACGTGTTCCTCCTCCTCCTCCTCCACCTCCTCCCTCCTCCTCCTCCTCCTCCCTCTCCTCCTCTTTCCTCCTCCTAAAGTAAACAAGTCTGAATAGAACCAACGCTTACCCGAGGTCCGAGAGATTATTATGGTCGCGCAGGGACCTCCTTGCTCGCCGCGCGGAGCACCGCCAGGGGGGCCCAGCGCAGATCCGAGAGATCCGCGCGCACCTGCGAGAACCTATGCTTATACATGTTGTGTTGCCCCTTCCATCCTCTCCTGACCTTCAGGAGGGCTGAGAAGCACCAGTACCTCTGCAACTAAATTCCAGTCGAAGCTTGAAAGATCAACACCATGCTGAAACATTCGCAACAACGTTCATTACCGTCCCCCCCTCCCCCCCCTCCCCCACCCCTGGCCACGTCACGATTCGCGACGGCGCCGTCTGGGACTGATCTTAGCCATGCCTGCACATTTCCGGACTGCGCCGTCACGAATCGTGGCATTACCGGCCGCCTCCCCCCCCTCGGTCACGCCGGTCATTGCCAGGGGATAACAATCATGACATCAAGGTTGGAACGCTGTTCTTTAGCACTCTGGAAGGTCAGGGCCTGGCGCACTCTACGACGACAGTGGGAGCCAGAGCCGCTCCCTCAGCGGGGCGCCTTGGGCCCCCGCGCCCGCCGCCTCGTCCGCCTCCCGGGACCGCCGCACGTAGCCCGCCGCGACCCACTCCCGCAGCTGCGAGGACAGCGCCCGGCACCTCCGCGCACCCCCCTGCGGCAGGTTCGTGTCGTACCGACCCCTGCGTTGGTTCCTGACACCACGGGGATCTCTCAACCTTGAACGGTCGGCCGTTTTCGGCGGTGGACAAACCTCCCTTCAGTAAACCTCCCCTTAGTGAAAACGGGATGGGACCGAAACCGACGCGAAAATAACGGCCGCCCTCTCGCGAACCGAAAACGGCCGATTCCTTAATCGACGTGGCAGGGTAGGAGGCCTATATCCACCTCCGACGCTTACGAACACGTCAGATCCTTCCACCTCGATCGATCCTGGGTGGCCGGTGGTGCTCAACGTGGAGCGGTGGCGGCGGGGTCGCCGCCGGTCGACACGGCACGAGCCAACCGTCCAGAGAACCGACGTCGCTGCGTTATCGAAGGTGGGGCACACAAATAAATACACACACACAAATAAACATATCCCCCACATTTTCCTATATTTTCTGGGTTGTTGTCTTCCCCCCCACTTCCCATCTTTTCCCATATTTTCTGGGGAATCGACGATGAATTGTGTGTTTTTTCTCTCCTGCGTCCTCGATCTCGGCCGCTGGGGCCCGTCGTCGGGCCCGGGGGCCAGCAAGCATGGAGCGGGGACGGGGCACGCCGGGGCGTCCAAGAGGGGGGGCTTGGGGGGGCCCCAGGACACACACAAATCAATGCACACAGATACAAAGATTCCCCATATTCTCCCATATTGTCTGGGTCTCTGTCTTCCCCCCCCCCTGCACTTCCCATAGTTGCCCACATTGTCTGGGAGCCGACGAGTCATTGTGTCTGTGTGTCGTTTCCCCTCCTCAGGTGTCCAAGAGGAGCCGAAGCAGCCGTGCTGTGACTGCACATCGGCTGCAGTTACAGTGGAAGCGAAACAAAACAACTCCATAGCGGCTCGCCTGCTTTATCCCAAGCGGGAGGGGGGAACACGGGGGAGGGGAAGGGAGGGGACCGGCAGGGGCAACAAAAGGTGTCCAAGAGGGGGTGGCGCAGAACATGGCCTGCGGCATGCGTGCGGCCAGAAGGGGGGCCGAGGACGCACTGAAACAAGAAGAGGCGCCCTGAAACCGGGGGAGAGACCTCATGGCCCCCGCCAGGATATCCCCACACCCCCCTGGACCTCACCCCTCTTCCCTGACCTTCCAGGAGGGCTAAAAAATGGCACCCGACTTGGTTCTAGGCAGTTTCGTTTAGTTTTTTAGGTTTTTAGGCTTCCGGTGCTAAAAAAAAGCTCTCTGGAAGGTCAGGGTTCTTGGCCGCCCCCTGGACCTGGGACGGAGAACTGACCCCCCGGGAAAGGGGGGTCGGCGCCTCTGGGGCCGCGCACGGGATCAAGCAGTGGCGAAGCGTCCTGGCTCGCCTACAGCCCTACCAAACAATGTTCTACGAACCTTTCTGTGGGTTCCACGAAATGTCCTCAGAACACTTCTGGCGGAGTCCGTCTTGTTTTAACGCCTCGGGCTCATGTTCTAAGAGCAGCGTTTTGTTCTTGGGACATGTTTGGGTCCTAAGAACACTTCGTGGTAGGACTATAGGAATGCCGGGACGGTCGGTCCCTGCTCAACAGGAACAGCAGCGCACGGTCGGAGGGCGCTGGGGCAGGCTGCACGAGCTCTCCGCCGCCCGGGCGCGCGGGGGGCTGGCCGTGCCGCGCCCCGGGAACGGGCACTTCCGCGGCGCTGCTGCTCGAGAGCATTGCCAGCCTGGAATAGATCCCTATCCCTAAGCTGGGCATCGCCTCAACACAATGCCAATCTCAGGGATTCCCTTCGTTTTTCAGGGCGAATCCCCAAGATTGTCATCGCCTCTTGGCGTGTCAATCTTAAGGATAGGGATACGTTCGAGGCTGGTGAGAGCAGGAGGATACAGGTCCGCTCCCGCTCGGGCACGGGCGGTGACGGCGGGCAGGAGCGAAAAGAAACCCACGCGGGCGCAGCAGAGGCGCACCGTGAGAGCCAGGCCTGCTCGCACCTCACAATACCGATTCGAGCAGAGTCGACGAGAAGCCAGCAGCCCACGAGCTCCACACCGCAGGCGAAACGAGGCCACCACCAACGACGGCCAGCCAGGTCCGTCCGCCCACGCAGCTTGGCTACACGGGACAAGGACCTCTGAGCGAGATGTGGCGCGAGGCCAGCGCCTCGCCCGTCCCGCCCGCTCCCCTCCGATCGAAACGTGGCGGTGCAGATCAGGCATTCGGCCCGCCAGGAGGGGCCCCGGGAGGCCGCAAATTGCCATGGCAATCTGCGGCCTGCCGCAAATTAGGGCTGCAAATCACCATGCCCCCCTCCTCCTCCTCCTCCTCCTCCTCCTCCTCCTCCTCCTCCTCCTCCTCCTCCTCCTCCTCCTCCTCAAATTGGGGCCGCAAATCACCATGGCCATCTGCGGCCCCAGGAGGTCTGTGCATGGACCTCCACTCCCGTCGTGATGTTTCTGCCCCGGGCGCGGCACCCTCTTCCCCCTCTCCCTCCTCCTCCTCCTCCTCTCACCTCCTCCTCCTCCTCCTCCTCCTCCACCTCTCTCCTCCTCCTCCTCCTCCTCCACCTCCTCCGCCGCCCACCTCCTCTCCTCCTCCTCCTCCTCCTCCTCCTCCTCCTCCCTCCTCCTCCTCCACCTCTCTCCTCCTCCTCCTCCCTCCTCCTCCTCCTCCTCCTCCTCCTCCCCTCTTCCTCTTCCTCTTCCTCTTCCTCTTCCACCTCCTCCTCCCCTACTCCTCCTCCTCCTTCACTCCTCAATCCATCCTCCTCATGCTCCAGCTCCTCCTCCTCCTCCTCCTCCTCTCCTCTCCTCCTCCTCCTCCCTCCTCCTCCTCCTCCCCCCACTCCCTGTCCTCCTCCTCCGCCGCCTCCTCCTCCTCCTCCTCCTCCGCCTCCTCCTCCTCTACACTTACACAATATGAAAATACTCTCCCACTTCCCCTGATGGCGTCCCGAAGATGGCCGACCCCCCCGTCACGATTCCCGGGAAACGGGTATTCGCCTGCGTTTTTTTTTTTTTTTTTTTTTTTCAAAATGCTGCTCTCGCTTAGGCGCCGGCCTCATTTCTGCTCCCGCATCGTTCCGAATCGTGCTCCCGCTGCAGCGTGGGCCTCATTTTCGGATCGGTGTTTGGCCTCCGTCGTTCAGGATGGCGTTCTCGCCCCAGCGCGGGCCCTCTTTCTCGCGCGCCCATCCGCCCGCCACCACCGCGCCGCACCACCACCACCACCACCACCACCACCACCAGCACCAGCACCAGCACCACCATTTTTATCCACACCAACGCACCACCACCAAACCACCACCATCACCACCACACCATCACAACCTCACCAGCACCGCACCTGCAACCACCACCACAACACAACCACCACACACACAAATAATAAAGATACAACACATCTAAACACCCAGCACCAGCTCCTAGCACAGCAACAGCACCACAACCACCACCACCACCACCACCGCCACCACCATCACCACCACCACAACCAACCACCACCACCACCACCACCACCACCACCACCACCACCACCACCACCACCACCACCACGACAACCACGCACACACGCACGCACGCACGCACGTGCACCACCACCCACTACGCACGCGCGCACGGAGCCACAGGTCCGCTACGACACGCGTCCGCGGATAGAGAAAATCAGCGCCATGGTAAGGGATGGGAGGGAGGGGTAGGACGTCAGATATGACGCGAGCGCACCTCGCTTGTCCTCCTCCCCCTTCCTCCATCCTCCTCCTCCTCCTCCTCCTCCTCCTCCCCCTCCCTCTCCTCCTCCTCCTCCTCCTCCTCCTCCTCCTCCTCCTCCTCCTCCTCCTCCTCCTCATCCTCCTCCTCTTCCTCCTCCTCCCCCCTCGAGGGGCACCAGCCGGTTGCCTCGGCGAAGGCCGAGCTGCGCCCGTGGAGCGTGCAGAACGCGTCGTAGGCCCGGGCCACCACGTCGTAGTTCACCTCTGGCGTCCGGGCGGCGCGAGGGAAAGGGCACCCTCGGCCATGGAGGAGATCTCGGTCGGCGGCGCGCCCAGGGGGGACGCGGCAGAGGGGGCGGGCCTTCCCTGGAGGAAGCAAAAATACATGTTGTTCTCGTCGGCGGCGAGGCAGAATGGCTGAACCAGCGATGGAGCCAAACGGGGGCGCGGAGAAGCGAACTGCCCAGCATGCAGGAGGGGAAACGACGGACAGGGCGGCCGCGGAGGAAGCATACCGAAGCATTCAATGCTTGACGGTCCGCGCGGACCGTCAAAGCTTATGTTTAGGAAGCTGTTTACCCTTCGAGTCTCACAGGGCTCAGAAGGCCCCCGGCCTTCTGCGAAGCTTCCCGAGCCTCCTCCGAAGCCGCGGGCGTCTTCGCAGGAGGCCGGAGGGCCTCTGACGAGCCCCCGACGCCGTCGCAGAGGGCCCGCCCCCTCGCGGGCCCCCCTGGGCGCACCCCACAGAGACGACGTCACCCAACATCGCGAAACATCCCTGACCTTCCAGAGAGCCATTTTTTTGCACTGGAGGCCTAAAAACCTAAAAAACGAAACGAAACAGCCTAAAACCAAGACGTAGAATAGCCCTGGGATAGGTTTTTAAGTCGGGTGCCATTTGTTAGCACTCCTGGAAGGTCAGGGATCGCGACAGGCGCCCTGGATCCCTTCTTTGTATTACATCTGTGAGCCAGATCGATCTGCGACGGTCCCGATGGGTGCATGCGCCCGACGCCGGGCGAACGCGCCCGGCGCGACAAAATGGCAGCGCCCGGACTTCAGCTTCAGGGGCCGCCGAGAGAGTAGGTGAACAACAAAAAGACATGAACATAAAAATTGTTGACGCTTCGCGTATCCCCACCAGCCCATCCAGAAACGATGCTCAGGGGAGTTGAGGTGATCAGGGAAGTCGGGGAGCATGCAGAATAACAAAGGGCGGGGGAAGCTGTCACAGACCCCGAGAGGGGGAGGATGGAAGAGGAGTCGTCGTCGTCGTCGTCGTCGTCGTCGGAGGAGGAGGAGGAGGAGGAGGGGGGAGGAGGAGGAGGAGGAGGAGGAGGAGGAGGACGGAGAAGGAGGAAGAATCGGAGGAGGAGGAGGAGGAGGGGAAGGAGCTTCTTGGGGGTCTTTTGAGGGCCTCTTGGAGGGCTTTTTGGGCGCCTTGGGGCATCTTGGGCGCCTCTTGGGACCCTCTTGAGGCGCTCTGGGGAGCCTTCGGGGCGCTTTTGGGGCCATCTTGGAGGGAGTCGATCAAACAAGAGGGGGGGTTTAATTAGCGTCCCCCCTCGGAAGCCCCTAAAATCGCCTCTTGGACCCCTCTTGGAACGCTCTTGGAGTGCTCTTGGGCGCTCTTGGGGCCGTCTTGGGGCTCTTTTGGGGCTCTCTTGGGGCCCTCTTGGGCCATCTTGGAGCCATCTCCAGGCCTCGGATGGCCATCGGAAGCGAAAAGGCGAGAAAGCAAAAATCATTGATTTTCCTTAGGTTTTGGGACGATTTTGGCCTCTTCGGGGCCTCCTTGGGGAGCTGTTTGGCCACTTGGAGTTATCTTGGGGCCGTCTTTGGGCTTCTTGGAACCATCTTAGGAGCCATCGTGAGCGATCTTGCGCTATCTTGAGCCATCTTGGAGCTCATCTTGGGTTCTCTGAGGCGCTCTTGGAGCCGTCTTGGGCCATCTTGGACGCTCTAACTACCCGCGGCCCCCCCCGTCCAGGTCCAGGGGAGGGGGTAGGGGGAGGGGTAAACCCCTCCCCAAGGGGGAAGAGGGAGGGGTGGAAGAGGATCTGCTCTAGACCACCTACGCCCAGAGGGCTGGTGGGACTCAGAGGTCCGCGCAGACTTCTCGGATCGGCGCTGAGGCCCATCGGCGGCGCCTCCGGCGCCGCCCCTGGCGCGCTCCGCGCGCCAGGGAGGGGGGTCCAGCGCCGATCCGAGCAATCCGCGCGGAACTCTGAGTCCCACCAGCCCTCTGGGCGTCGGTGGTTTAGAGCGTTTCCTCTTCCACCCCTCCTTCTTCCCCTTCGGGGAGGGGTTTACCCCTCCCCCTACCCCCTCCCCACTGACCTGGACAGGGGGGGCCGCGGGTAGTTAGAGCGTCCAAGAACGACCCCTGGGAGGGCTAAAATTCGACACCCCTCACGAGGATCGTGGCTCCTGAGGGGGGGACTGTAATTAGGGAACCCCCCTTCGTTGATCGATCTCCTCCAAGATGGCTCCGAGGCCCCCCAAGAGGCCCCCAGGAGGCCCCCAAGAGACCCCCAAGAGGCCCCAAGAGACCCCCCAGAGGCACCCAAGAAGCGCCCAGGAGGCCCCAAGAAGCGCCCAGGAGGCCCCCAAAGGCCCCAAGATGGCCCCAAGAGGCCCCAAGAGGCCCCCAGGAGGCCCCAAAGAGGATCCCGAACGGCCCACAGAGGCCCCCCCGAGGCACCCAAGACGCCGAAAAGCCCCTCAGGACGACCCTCTACTCGCCTGGGCGTCGTTTCTGGACGGGCTGGTGGGGATACGCAAAGCGTCTAGAATTTTTATGTTTATGCCACTTTTTCTGACCTTCCAGGAGGGCTACAAAATGGCACACGACGTAAAAATCTATCCCAGAGCTATTCTACGTCTTGGTTTTAGGCTGTTTCGTTTTGTTTTTTCAGGTTTTTAGGCCTCCAGTGCTAAAAAGTAGCTCTCTGGAAGGTCAGGGTTTTGTTCCCCCAGAACTCCCTTAGCCTCCGTCCTCGATCCCACGGGCTCCCTGGGCCCAGACCCAAAAGTCACCACGAGCCTCCTCGGGCTCGGCCCCGTGCCCCCTGGGGCTTTCCCTGCGGCTTCTTCGTGCCCAAAGAGGGCCCCAGGGCGAGCCAGGAGGGCTCCCAAGGAGGCCCCGAGGACGGTCCAAACGAACCCCGGGGGTCGCCGAAGGATGGCTCCAAGACGCTCAAGATGGCCCCCAGACGGCCCAAGAGGCCTCCAGGACACCCCACGAGGCCTCCAAGAGTCACCACGAGTCTCTCCTCGGGCTTGGCGCGCGCCCCTCTGGGGTTCTCCGGGCGGCCTTTGGTCGCGCGGCCTCTTCGTGCCCAAAGAGGGCCCTCGAGGCGGGCCAGGAGGGCTCCCAGGAGGCCCCGAGGGCGGTCCAGACGAGCCCCGGGGGTCGCCGAACGACGGCCCCAGGACGCTCAAGAGGGCCCCCCTTATACGGCCCAAGAGGCCTCCAGGACACCTCACGAGGCCTCCAAGAGGCCTCCCAAGAGGCCCCCCATACGGCCCAAGAGGCCTCCAGGACACCCCAAGAGGCCTCCGAGAGGCCTCCCAAGAGGGCCCCGAGAGGCCAACCTGATTGGTCTTCCATCGATGTTTGAAGGTGTTGGCGTTCTCGCCTTTTCGGCTGCCCGACGCTTCCAGACGGCCCCAGAGGCCCCCAAGATCGCTCCAAGACGGCCCAAGAGGCCCCAGAGACAAGTCCAAAACGGCCCAAGGGGGCCCCAAGACAGCCCAAAAGGCCCCAGAGACGGTTCCAAGCGGGGGCCCAAATTGGAGACCCGAGCAGACATTCGAGCCCTCGGCCCCGAGGGGCCCCAGGAGGCCCCAAAAGGTTCCCTGGAGGCCCTCTGTAGGCACCCAAGATGCCCTCAAGATGCCCCAAGAAGCCCCCAAGAGGCCCCCAAGAGGCCACCCCCAAGAGGCCCCAAGAGGCTCCCAAGAGGCCCTCCAGGGGCTCCCAAGAGGGCCCCGAGAGCGCTCCGAAGAGATCCCAAAAAGCATCCTGAGAACTGTGACCCACAACCGGAGCACGGTGGCGGGCTGGGCCGAAGGACATCCGATCCACCGCCCCCTGCTGGCTTGCCACAGGGGTATCTGGCGCTTTAGATGTCCTGAGGTCTGTGGTTCTCTTAGAACTCCACCTGGGGCTGCCCAGCGCGCCGGCCACCCGGAAGGCTTGCCCAGAGGTGGTTGCAAACGTTGTTTCCGCTCCAGATGGCTCCAAGATGGCCATAGATGGCCTCCAAGACTGCCAAGATGGTCCTCAAGTTCGGCCAAGGTAATCCAAGATGGCCCCCAAGACGGCCCAAGAGCGTCCAAGATGCCTGCAAATTTGCCCAAGAAGCCTCCAAGACGGCACAAAACGGCCTCAAGATGACAAAAGACGACCCAAGAGGCCCCCAAGAGGGCATCCGGGAAGGCCCGGAGAGGCCAAAATTATTGGCTTTCCTAAAGTTTTGGAAAGATGTTCGCACGTGTTCCTGTTCAGCCTTCTGACGGCCCGAGACGGCCCCAGAGCCCCCAAAGATCGCCCCAAGATCACCCAAGAGGCCTCCTAATTAGATGACCCCAGAACGACCCAAGACGCCCCCAAGACGGCCCCAAGAGGGCCCTCAGACGGCCCAAGAGGCCTCCAAGACACCCGAGATGGCTTCCAAAACGGCCCTGGAGCACCCGAAGCGAGCCCCCAGTCGGCCGAGAGAGGCCCGCAACTGCTCCCCGGCCCCACAGCCCCCAAAGATCGCCCCAAGACCGCCCAAGATGCCATCAAGATGGCCACAGAACGGCCCCAAGAAGGCCGCCCCAAGAGGCCCCAAGAAGGCTGCCCCCAAGACGGCCGCCCCAAGAGGCCCCCAAGAAGGCCCCCAAGATTGCCCCCCCCCCCCCCCCCCCCCCAGACGACCCAAGAGGGCTCCAAGACGTCCAAGCTGGCCTCCAAGACGGCCCTGGAGCACCCCAAGAGGTCCACAAGTCGACCAAGAGAGGCCCACAAGACGGCTTCCGACGGCGTCAGACGGGCCAGGAATGCCTTAAGACGGGCAAAGAGGCCCCCGAGAAGCACCCAAAGCGCCTAAGAGGCCCAAGGAGGCCCCCAAAATGCCTCCACGAGGCTCGCAGGAAGCTGCCAGGAGGCCACAAGAGTGCCTCCAGAGGCTCTCGATGTGACCCCTCCTCCTCCTCCTCCTCCTCCTCCTCCTCCTCCTCCTCCTCCTCCTGATCTCACCCGCCGGCTGGGGGAACACACGGTCCGATGGCTTGGCAGATCTCTTGCCACAACGCTCGGCCACATGGGCGATTCCAACAGTCAGGGGGCGGGGGTGATTCACCGCAGGCGTCTCCGTGATATGCCATCGCGCCTTCGACTGTTAAAGAACATTCGACATACAGTCGGACTCGACTGGACAGGACACGCGAGAGGACTCAAGACCCTTCCGAGGGCCAAACTGCCGCGGGAATATAGGAAGCATGGGTCGGGAGACACGGGACACGAGGGTACCCTTGACTTGGCAGGGTCGACCTGCTAATCCGGGCCGACTCTACAGTGGTGCATCAGATCACGGCGGCCTGTCCGGGTACCCCTCCTCGACAGCTTGTCTGTATGGGGTTCTCACGCCCGGTGGCGGCGCCTGGGCCCCCCGACCCGGGGGGCCGCTGCCCCCCCCCCCCCTCCCCCAGCGTTGCCCCCCATCGTGGCGGGCCCCCCGAGATCGGGGGCTCGTCGCCTCACATATTGGCCCCCCCTCTTGGTCGGACCCCAGCGTTGGGAATACCGCCAACTTCATGGACGCCCAGGGCGGGGGGTCGCAAGTTCGTGTTCGCGGGAAGCCATGCAGAGCACACATGTGGGGCGTCACGCGCGCCAGGCGCACCGCGAGCGCCACAGTGGTTTGGCTGGGGGGGGCGATGGAGGGGGGGAGGAGGGGGCAACCCGAAGAAGGCGGAGAAGAGGAGGGGGAGAGGAGAGAAGGAAACGGGAGGGGGGGACGGAGCAGGCGAGGGAGGCGGGAGGTCGTGGGACGAGGGATGGGGCGATGACGTACCCACCGCCCCTGGAGATGCCCATCCTGGGCCCGGGAGGCATGGACTCGCCACCGTGGCTTGGCCAGGGAGCCGTACAACTGCACCGCTCCTGGGCCCAGGGTGGGGCTTGCAAGGGGCGGTGGACATGCACAGAAGCGTAGATCTCCCAGCCCGAGAGGAGGGAGGAAAGCAGCGAGGAGGAGGGCGAAGACTCTGACCTCGACTGCCGGTCCGGTGCACGCGATCGCCACTGCGGACCCGGACATCCGAAGACGTGACTCTCGCAGAGCGCGGCCCCAGAGGTCCCAACCTGACCCCTTCCCCAGGGGGCACTTCCTCGTCCCGGCTTCAGTTGGGGGGACGAGAAGGTACAACTGTTTTGAGGACTGCCAGCTCTTGCCTTGGACTCTCCCCAAGCAGTGCCCTGGCGGCCTCTCGTACATGCCCACATCTGCCCAGTGTGGAAAGAGCTGCGTCTGCTTCCGCCCACTTACTGGCCATCGCTCGGACGTCCATTCCCTGTGCTTTTTGTCGGTCTCGTGCGTGGTTTTTTCGCCAAATGATCAAGGATGCTCCTCGAGGGGCCCTCGCCGACGGAAAAGAATGCACACGTCCGAGCGATGCCAGGCAGCTTACTGGCCCCTGCGCGTGGCCCCAACCTCCACGGGCCGAGGCCCCGCGCCCGGCCCGGGGCACAGAAAGGTACCGATGCCGTCGCTCCCTGGACCTCTCTGGGGGGCCACATGCGAACCCTACCCCTACCCCTCACGAAGTGAACCCCACCCTCCCCCTCAGAAACCGTGGGGGGTAGGGGTAGGGTTCGCATGTGACCCCCTGCTCTCCCGGGGTGCCTTCTGACGAGACGACAGTCCACCCGCAGAGTAAGGATGCGCGCTACGGGTGCAAGGCTCTTGGACGCCCATCTCGAAGCGTTTCGGGCGGGGCGCGCCCAGCAAGAGTGTCCAGGGATGGGCCCAGGAAGCCAGGGATGCAGGGGTACCCTCGGGAGGGATGCGCATCCTTGCTCTGCGGGTCGACTGCATCGGGCGAGTCCAACCCTGGCGACGAGGGAAGGGCAGGGCGTGAATTACCTACCCCGCTTCCGCTCCCAGGCAAAACCAAGCCATACCATACGCCTCCTCGTCACGCGGCCTGTCCAGTACATGCCGTAGTTTGGCATCGCTTGGTATCTCTTGGAAGCGAGGGTGGTCAAAAGCGAGGCAGGTTTGTTCTCCCCGTATATGCGTTTTGACCGTATCTCCGTCCCGAGGGGGGATGTCCGGGGCGAGTCGCGGGCCGCCGCCCCCGCTCGCCCGCCCGCTCGCCTAGGAAGGGCAGCGGTATTGGTGCCGTGTCCTCTTCTGCTCAACGTCGAGGGGCCCCCCGGCCCGACCACGGGCCCCCGGCGCCGCAGTCGAGCCGAAGCGCCGGGAGGGACACCGAGGGGGCCCCGGGGCACAGAAGTGAATAGGCACGGACAGCAGGATTCCCCACACCTGCCCATATCTTCGGGGCTTTTGTCTCTCAGCCCCCCCCCCACCTCCCATCTCTTCCCATAGTTTCCTGGGGATCGACGCGTAATGGTGTCCGTGTGTGTTTTTTCTCCTCCTGACTGGCAGAAACATCGCGACTGATCCTGAGATCCGACGTTGCGAACAAAAATCACCACAGAGCGAATAATCACGACCAGACCCCTGGGCGCCATCATGCTGCTTGCTGCATGTTTCGAGGCGGGTCGATCCGTGGTGGTCCACATGCGAAAAGGCCGCGGGTGAACAAGCGAATGACACCGTCTGGCGCGAACTTGGCGCGTCGTCGCTGCCTTGTCGCGCGATTGGCGCCTCCTGTCCTCCAGCTAACGCATTTTGCGTTGGTCGCACGACCTCCAGTTGTCTCGCCGAGTGTCTTGCCCACGCGCGTGTTGCGTATGGCTGCTTCACCGCCAAATTCTCAGGGGAGGTAGTTGCGGAGTCGCCTGGGCGTTCACGCGGAACCGCACCATCAGGCTGGCGGCGGACGGCGGGATCCTGCCCACGGACTTGTTCCACTCGTCCTCCCGACGGGACAGGAGGAGGAGGAGGAGGAGGAGGAGGAGGAGGAGGAGGACGAGGAGGAGGAGGAGGAGGAGGAGGAGCGGGAGGAGGAGGAGGAGGAGGAGGAGGAGGAGGAGAAGGGGGAGGACGGGAACGACGTCATGATCGGACTCGCTCATCATACGTTCCCGGATGTCCAGAGTACCCAACGGCCCCCGTTGCTGCATACACCTTGCTCGGTGGCAACTCATGGGAGCCTCCCGTACCATCTGGCCGGCTCTTGCGAATCGACGCTAATCGACGCTAACTCGGCGCTAATCGACGCTGACCGACGCCAAATCGGCGCCATCTCATCCACTCCAGACGCTCCTCGACGCTACAGGCGGAATCGAGGGGGTACACCAGGCTCCCATGATTTGCCACCGACAACTTGGCCATACAGTAGGGGCCCGACCCCCGACCACAAGAAACCTTCCACAAGAAACCCAACCCTGAGACCCCAGGACGTCCATCGACTTTTGGTATAGGAACGTCACGTTCTCCATGGCGAAACCATCGAAACCCAAGAAACCAAGGGCACCCTGGAGGTGAGCAGGGTGTTTCTTGGCATGGGCCCCCACTGTAGGGGAATTCGTGCAAAATCCTGGATCGTGCCACTCCCATGGCCCCCCTGCCCCTCTGGCAAGAGCCGGGCGGCGCTCCCGTGGGGTGAGGTGCCGGACGCGACGGGGCGGGGCGGGCGAGCGGGGGCGGCGGCCCGCGACTCGCCCCGGACATCCCCCCGGGACGGAGATACAGTCAACACGTATATGCGGGGAAAGCAAACCTACCTCGCTTTTGACCACCCTCGCTTCCAAGAGATGCCAAACGATGCCAAATTGCAGCCTGTACTGGTCAGGCCGCTTGACGAGGAGGCGCGTGGTATGGCTTGGTTTTGCCTGGAAGCGGAAAGCAGGGTAGGTAATTCACGCTCTGAGTATAGTAAGGACGCGTGGTAAGGACGCAAGACCCTTGGAGTCTGAAAGGGATTTTTGTTGGGCGGCGGCGACCAGCGAAAGCGGCAAAGGAGGGACCACAGAGGCAAGGACGCAAGGGCATCCTGGATGAAGGCGCGCGTCCTTACTAGGCGCGTTGACTGTACTTGGCGGCGAGCGAGGCACTTCTTCCAGCAAACTTTCACAGGAGCACTGCGCCGACCCGAAAGATTCCCCAGTGCTGCTACGGTGCATCTGCTGGTCGCTATCGATTTGGGGGATCCCAGAGGGGGTCCAGCTGCAAGGGGGTGGTGCAGTGGATTTGGGGCAATCGTATTGCAAACAAGCGGCGGCGAGCGAGGGGGGAACTGGGGAGGAGAAGGCCTTCTCAGAAGGCGGCGGGACTTCTCAGAAGCCCTCGCGCCTTCTGAGAGGCGTTTTGCGCCTTCGGGGAAGGCTTGGGCAACTTCTCGGAAGGCCTGGGGACTTCCGAGCCTTCTGAGGAGGCCCGCCCCTTCTCATCTCCCCCCCTCGCTCGTTGCCGAAATACGGTCACCGCTCGTGAGCACTCGGGGGGTCTGGAACGGTCGCGCATCTCACGTCAGGCAGGAAAACCCAGAATCGTGTAGAAATGAGTCGGAACGGCGATCGAAAGGAGTCGGATCGGCGGAAATCGTCAGCCAAGCCCGGAGGAGTCAAATCGACGTAAATCGGCGAGCAGGCAAGGACTCCAGACGAGCCAGCAAGGACCTCGCGGTAAGTTGCCTGCCGAGGCAAGCGCGCCGCTGGAGTGGATTAGACGTCTGCCTTCATTGCCCAGCCTGGACTGCCAGGGCCCACTTGTGTGCTTCAAATACACAGCCGTGACAAGAGTTTCTTCAATTTGCTATGATGAATGACTACCTACCAGAATACCCCAACCCAACCCGAAGGCCCGAATTTCGGGTTGGGGGGGGTATGGGCTCCATATGTGTTTTTTCGATGTTCCCGGACCCCCCCACTCTAGAAATCGAGGGTAAATCTGAGCCTTCGGGTTGGTTTGGGGTGGCTTGGTGGGTGGTGAATGAAGATTTCTCCCATCCCTCTCAAGATTCCTAGCGTGACATGATGCTGGGATCATTCGGCGGAGTAGTTTCCGATCCCGGAGACGTTAATAACTGTGTTATCCCAAAACGGGATCGGAAACTACTCCGCGCCAAACCACATACATCACCGAGCGGGATGCGATTGCGCGCGGAGTAGTTTTAGTAGAACTACTCCGAACTACTCCGCAAGAACGCGTCATTCCAAAAGGCAAATTGAAAGAAACTTTCGTCACGGCGATGTATGCAAACCACCCAGGGACGCACAGGTCACCGCGTAGAACAAGGATGCACGGTAAGGAGGCGAGGGTCTTGAAAACCCATTTCGACACTTTCCGAGCGGGGCGCGGCCAGCGAAAGTGGCCCAGGACAGGTCGTAGGGCTGTGGATGCCACGACAGTGGACACCCTAACAGTCCTATCATTGGATTGTAAATGTGCTGAACATGTAAGAACAATGTTCTAAACATTGTTTTACCATGTTTAAACTATGATGAAGACATGTTTTAGACATCTGGGAATTCTTTCCCAGCATGCTTCCTCTCCATGGATCGTCCTCCACATTCGAAGGGGAAGGATGCCAAACAAGAACCTTGGAGCATCGCTCATCATCACACGTCGGTCGGACGAAGTAGGTAAGGCGGACAAAGTGGATTGGGTCCAGACCCTCCCAGAGAATAACCGAAAACGCAGCAAAAGCGTGCCGATTCTTGAAGTAGGGAAGGCGCTTGAGGCAGACTGGGACCTGGGAACCAAAAAATACCTGCTTTCAACGACCGGCGTGTCCTGTCCCTGCTGATCAGTGGGCGGCATACGCAGGAACTCCCGGAGCTCCGCGCGGACGTCTTGCACCGGCGCTGGACCCCCCGAGCGCGCGCGGAGCTCCCAACGCTTCTGCTGTGCCGTGTGCTCGCCTCGGCTCGACGGGCGCGCCCCACTGGCTCGCAGAGGAACTGCGCGCGCGAATGGCCTGGATCCCCCGCGGGCGATCTACGATCAACTACATCGAAACAGACACGTGCTTTTCTCGGACGTTTGCGAGTAGGCACTACGCGCTCGGTGAGCCTCGGGCTAAAAAACAACCACGACTCATGGTTGGCGGTCTGCGGCCTCCTGGGCCCCTTGCCGGGCCGCGCGGCCGCCAAAAAAGCACCTCGGCGTGATAGATAGGCCGGACCCTGGGAAATGGGTTCCGGACCTCTGGGGAGCTACGACGCGAACCACATTGCTCCCTGCGGCAAAGGCCCGAAACAGCTTTGGGGAGCCAGTGGTTGGGGGTATCTCGCGAAGGGGGGCAACGATGGGCAACGGTGGGGGGCAACGATGGGCGTTGGGGGGCAACGATGAAGGGGACAACGACGAGTCGGTCGCCGATCTCGTGGGCTCGGCATGAAGGGCAATGGTGGGCGGCAGCAATCAGCCTCCGATCTGTGGGGCCCGGCGTCCCTCACCGGGCGTCGGAAACGAGTGCAGAACCGCCCAGGAACCGCCTGGTGCCCCAGCGGGCGGCGGACATGGATATATTCTGGCACCCCAGGGCCCGAATCTATCCATTATCCGCCGCCTCTGGAGGTCGGCGAAGAGGGCGGCGGATGTGGATATGTTCTGGCCCCTGGGGGGCCGAAGCTACCCTCATCCACTGCCCGTGGAGGTCGGCGAAGACCGATCTCCCAGGTGGTGGTCATGGATGAACCCCAGCCTCTCGGGGACGCACTGACCTGGGTCGATGCAAACCTGGGCCGGTCAGGCCCTGCAGGGTCCTGCCGGATTCTGCAGGATCCTGCGCCCAAGCCCGGGTCAGTGCGACCCTGGCCCTGTCTGGCCATCGCTCGGACGTCCCTTTCCCGTGTTTTTTTCGGTTTCGTGCGTGGCTTTTTCGCCAAATGATCAAGGATGCTCCTCGATGGTCCTCGCCGAGGAAAAAACGCACACGTCCGAGCGATGCCAAGCTGTAGGATCCTGCAAATGCAGCGCTCTGACTGGCCCCCGCTTGCAGTGACCCCCGCCTCTGGAGCCCCGAGCCTCGCAGAACCCAGGGGCAAACCGTGTCGGGAGGCACGACGTCGGAGGTCCGGCAGCGCCGAGCCGCACCAGTCTTCTCTCCACCGCCCGGAGGCGCCGAGAGAGCGCCACGGCGTCGAGAGGAGCGTGGAGGAATTGGTCCTCAGGTCAGGTCAGGTCAGGTCCGGTCGCGCGCGGAGGCCGCGCCGCACGCGCCCCCCAAGTGGAGACGGCGATGGAAAACATGCAATGAGACACACCCCTCTGAGATATGAAAGTTGCAGGCAGGCTGCTGCGAGGTCATGAAGTCCACGAAGTCGCCCTCGAAATGTGCTAAATCGAACACTCGCGTGCCATGAAATACTTCTGATAGCGACGTGGCGTGTTTGCTACTCAGATACGGTCCTCAAGACCCCACCTTTGAACCTCCGAGGGAAATCGGAGGGTGCCTCTCCCCGAGAGGCGCTCCGGCCAGCATCTCGAGGCGAATGCGGCGCTGGCGGCGAGGGCCTCCCAGGAGGCCCGAAGAGGCGGAAAACGGGGCGAGGGTAGTGGTCTGGGTACCTTTTTTAGGGAAACGAGCTCTATACCCCGACGCTTTTTCCGACCCTGCGCTGAAATTCGCACAAGAACGCGGATTTTGGTGTATACGTGATCCTGGTGTATACATTGTTCGTTGCTTCCCCGCGAAAACGGGGAGAAAAAGTATACACCGGACCACCCCGACGTCGTCCCCGACCCTCGAAAAGTCGTAGGATTGAAAAACGGCCCGCCACTGGTCATGTTTGAGCAGGGACCGACCGTCCCGGCATTTCTATAGTCCTACCACGAAATGCTCTTAGAACCCAAAAATGTTCTAAGAACAAAAACAATGAATGTTCTTAGAACATGCACCCGATGTGATCAAACAAGACAGACCCCGCCAGAAATGTTCTAGGAACATCCCGTGGAAACCACAAAAGGC